CTTCACGAAGTCACGACATCGCGTCCTGCCTATTTCACGTGCGCGGGAAGGATGGCGCCGCCTAATCGTCCTCGAGAAATTCAATTTCGACGATGCCGATGGCCGGCCTAACTCCAAAGACGCATCGGTATCCAGGCCAAAGACCTAACCTACCGCAGCCCCCCCCCCTCTCTCTCTCTCTCTCTCTCTCTCTCTCTCTGTCTGCCTCTCTCTCTGTCTGCCTCTCTCTCATACTTTGCTTCGACCGAAACCGACGAGGGTACGACGATCGATATACTCGCGTTCCGAGAAGCTCACCCTCCTCGTGAGTTCAAGAATCTCAAAACTTCCAACATCGATTTGCCTCGATCGCGATAACGCGTCAGCCAGTCGTCACGATCCTGCTCAGTTATACGACACCTGCGTGCAGGATTAATTGCGCGCCGCGGTAATCGTGCCCGTTGCATTCCGATATGTCACACTTGCAAGACTATCGACTTTTCGACCTTACATCAAGGGTGTGGAAAATTATAATCGCACGTAGTTTCGCAAAATCATTTGATTTATAGTCTTCTTACGGAGATATATGTTATCATTGGAAAATACCAAGGGACATAGCAATTATGTGCGCAAAATCGAACCTGGAGATCTAAAAGTGCCAACACTCAATTATTCATCCCCCTTACCTCCCTAACCAGACTTTTCTAGAGTGCCAATAACTAAAGGGACATCAATAATTGAGTGCTTTACCACACATTCAGACTTCACACTTGCAAGAATATCGATTTTCGGTCTTATCAAAAAGACAGAGAGGGAGAGAGAGAAAGAGAGTATATGTATTCGGGAAAAATCATAATCGTACGTAATTCGATAAAATGACAGAAATTTGTAAACGGAGATGCACGTCATCATTAGAAAGCACCAAGGGCCACAACTGGGAGATTACGTGTGCGAGATCGGACTTGGAAATCTAAAGGTTAACTCCCGTTCTTTACTTTCCGGCACTTTGGCTCGTTTTCACTTCAAGCCCTCATTTATCTTGAGCCAGTTCCAAAATAACTCCGACAGCCGATTCGCGCGGGCGCACGACGAGTGTTTAGGTAATTTCCGTCGAGCGGCGGCGCGCGTCGTAAAATCGAATGCTCTCTATTCCCACAGCAGATTATAGTCGCGTATCTAGCAGGATGCGTCGATAATAACATTTGATAACGCCGAGGTGCGGGAACCATTTCGCTCCCGTGTCCGCGATAGATACGCGCTGACGCGTATTTGATTCCGCGGATTAGACGCCCGGCACGTAAGGTGAGAACTCGGAAGGTTTATTTAGGTTGCGGCGCGCTAACTGCCGAGTATACGAAACGTCTTTTGCATTTTCAATGAAGTTGTCGGGTGTGCGCCTACGGAGAACGCCGGCCCCGAGAGTGAGAACAACGACAGCGGGACAAATTATTCTAACGCACGCCATGTCTGGCCCCGGGATAAAGGGGCGCGCGCGAAAATTGCAACAGGGGCGATACAACGCAATCAATACTAATGCGACGAATTACACGTCTAACGATGGTCGAAAATTTTCGCGCGGCGATATTTATCCTTTTGTCACTGTCTCGCGGTCGCGCGCGCGAGAGCTCGTTACTGAAAATATAAAATTTATTCACCGCGCGGCTTTGCGGCTAATTGCAAAATTAGTTTCGGATTTTCATAGCGTAGGCACCATCATCCAGTTTGTCCCAACGACGCAAAAGCCCAATTCATGATGAAATAAATTTGTTCTGTAACGGCAGATCCGCCGCAGGTATATTTGGCTCGTCTAATTTCTGTCACTGACGAATTCCATTAACCGCTTTGAAACATTCAGAACGACCGAATTCTAACAGGATCCTACGGACAGAAAATCGATACCGCTGATTTCCATGGCCGATAGAGTGGGTACCATCCTGATCGTGATCGACCTCGGTTTCCGACTGCCGTGCTCTTAACATCCACCGCCGGGACAGCGGTTACGCGACGGTAAATTCTTGCGTGGCTCGAGAATACGTAATTGGCCAACACAGAAGTGCGAGGAGGTAGAGGATCACAGGCAGAGAGAGAGAGAGAGAGAGAGAGAGAGAGAGAGGGAGAGAGAGAGAGATATGGTTAGCTACAGAGAGAGAGAGATAAAGCATGTATAGAAATATGGAAAGCGGGCTTTCTCCGACAAGGCGGTAACGCTGGACCGGCGGTAGCAAATGTAGCCGTTAATTGCAATTCCAATTTACACGAAAGTCGGATGTACGGATGTGTGGGAGCGTGTAACGCGCGCGCGTACCACGTTCAGCGGGCCGACAGGCGTGTGTACCGGTGTACTTACATGTAGGTGCGCCACATACCTTAGGTCTAATTCGCAGGGCGCGCGGTACCGCTATCTCCGGGGCTATGACCTTTCTTCCGCCGCGCACGGTTCATTTATCCCCTTCGCCCCTTCGCTTGCCGAATTGCGCGCGGGCGTTACACATTCGGCGCGATATTCGCCCGTAAGTGTTCATTAAAGCCGACGGTATTCAACGTGGTAGCGCTAACGGCGCGACAGAGGCGGCGGCGGCGGCGGTGGCGGTGGCGGCGGAAGATTTATACCAAGGCGGAAGGACGTTAGGTCCTGATGATGGTAGCATAGCGGGCACCGGCGTGCGGCTTCCGCGTGCGTCCGAACGGTTTGACACGCATTAATTAATGGCCTCTATCTGGGTTACGCGCTGATTCATAATTAATCGGCGCGGTAACGTAGCATTTAATATTCGCCGGCGACAACGGCGGCTGAAAAATGCGCGTTGAACCGCGTCGCGCTATACGCGCCGATCACGACGCACGTCGCGACAAAAATCATCAATCCGTCGGGACGCGCGCGCACACCTTCCACCTGTCGAATATGATGACGTTATACGGGCGCACCGATCAATCAGCCGCTCGCTGGTGATTGCCGTTCACTCGCGTCACCGTTTACCACGCGGCGTATCTCCTCCGCCGTTCTCCGGCCGACCTGGCGTGAGTCTGACGTAAGAATAGCGCCTTCGTGGCTAGCTACGTGCATCGGCGAGGAGATACAAATTGAAAAATGTGAACTCGACTCCCCCCCTCTCTCTCACTCTCTCTCTCTCTCTCTCTCTCTCTCTCTATCTATCTATTTATCTATGTCTCTCTCTCTTTTCCGTTCGCGCTCCTTCTTTCTCTGTCGGCTGCACGAGAGCGCGGCGGAGTCTTCTTTCGTGGGAGCAACATCCACTTTTGCTCCGCTCTCCTTTATGCGTTCCGCTACCTGGGTAAACCAGAGAGCAAAATAGGGCATTGTAAAGTTCCCCGAACGACGTTTGCACCGATTGCGCGGGATTTAAACGATTACTCCACCGCGAGGACCTATCTACTCACTCCGCCGAAACGCTGCAAGCCGTAATTTCCATTAACGACACGCAAAGCATCTCGGAATAAAATCTCTCTCTCTCTCTCTCTCTCTCTCCCCCTCTCCCTCTCTCCCTCATTCTGTCCTTCTCTATCTCTCCGTTTCTCCCGACGGAGTCTCTTCCCTTATCGATATTAATTCCCAGATATTTTTAGAACGATATGCACCAAAGAGAGAGAGAGAGAGAGAGAGGCAGAGAATAGTTTCGTGCTCGCGCTTAACGTGTTAATGAAAACTAAATATGTGTGTCTATGATCTCTCTCTCTCCCGTTTCCCCGGACTAAGTACGGAATTAATTTACAGATAATGCGGTTTCCTCGTCGCGCTCTCGCTCTTTCACGCACGCACGCGAACTGACATTTTTCGAGGGAATTACACGTTATTTATGACAGAGAATGATTTAATACACGGGGTGCGAGGGGCAAAAGTGCAGCGGGGAAATAAGAAGAAATAATAAAGACGGATCAGCGGTTAAGTGCGTGTACGATAGCCTAAAATTTATGAATATTTCATCCATGGCAGATTGATGGCACGCTGGGACATCGGTCACAATTCGTTATTTCAACGGCTCGAATTAATCGACGGAAGTCGGAGACGATTCGGTCCAAGATTGAACGCGCGTCGGTATAATTTTCAGTTTTAGCCCGGGCGCGATACATTCGCGAATTTTCATTACTCTTATCACTAGAACCGCGTACGTTACGTTAAGAATGCGAGCCACATAATTCCGCATGCTTGCGTTAGCGCAAAAAGGTCTGCCGTAAACTTTAATTAACGTTTTCGCGATTCCTGCCGTGTGCGTTTACCCCGGTCAACTGGCCGAGGCCTCGCACAATCGAGCTTTTGTAACGAAGCTTTCGGTTCAACCGAAAGCCTGTGCTCACATCGCTTTGGTGACCGCCGAATTTATTTATTTTCTTTTTCTTTGTTTTTTTTTTGCATTTCCATTCGGCCGCGTATAACTTTGCGCCGCGTATTATTGCCCGCGAACGCAATTTCAAATATGCACAATGTTGATGCACACACACACACTCCCTCTCTCTCTCTCTCTCTCTCTCTCTCTTCTCTCTCTCTCTCTCTCTCTCTCTCCCCCTCTCTCTCTTTACTATACGGCGAAAACGATCAATATAACATTTATAGCCCCCCGTACGTAGACCAGCCGGAGTCAATGGCAGCAGTTCTCCAGCGCGACTATATTTACAACCGGCGATCGAAAGGTTAAAGTAATTTTGATGTCACGTCTCGCGCGGCGCGCGTTGAATAGTCGAGACCGTGTTTACCGGAAGGCTCTATAGTCTCCCAGTCAAGTTCTTGCTCAAACTCGCTATTCGCTTTACAATCTAAAAGCGAGACACCCCTTTCCCTCTTCCCTCCGTATCGATGTCCTTATTTTTACAGTCACACATTTTTACTCTCTCCCTCTCTCTCTTTCTCTCTCTGTTTCTCTCTCGTGTCTTTCTTTATTTCCACGCAATCACAAGAAAGGCCTGGAAAGCGCCGTAAAGATTTCCCAGTTTGGCAGCTCCAACGGCCCCCAATGTGTGTACCGAAAGCTCCAAACAACTATTAAGAGATGCGGATGTGTACTCACCATAAAGTCCCCCCGCTGTGGTAGCCCTGAAGACGACCCATATGAGATAAGCATAGATTATCCGGCCGCGCTTCCACGCACCCATGATGCCCATGGCTTTTATCGTGCCCCTCTCAACCACTTCGAGACCCTAATCTAACTCGATCGACGTTGATTAGAAGCACACGCACCCCCGACTCGTACCCTCCTCTTTCTCGGCCCTTTCACTCACGAGCCGCGTCGAGTGTCTAAGTGCGAGTGCCACCGTGTCGGCGGATCCTCGACTTCCGATAGTCGAGAGCGACCCGCGAGTATCCCGCGAAACGCATATCTTCCTCGCAGATCTTCCCCTCTTCTCTGTCTCTCTCCCTTTGTGCTCGAAGGATGGGGATTCCCGTCCGTTAAAACGACGGACTAGTCCGCAGCGGCGCGAGCTTTACCGTGACGTGACGGCGCGCGATACCGCGTATACGGCAAGTTTTGTTACACTTACGATCGGACGTGTAACGACAACCATCGGGCACGAGACCGCAGGCACGCGATCTACCATCACCAAGAGCACCACCAGCACCACTACCACCACCACCACCACCACCACTACTACCACCACGACGATGACGACGACGACGACGACGACGACGACGACGACGATGACGAAAACGACGGCGGCCAGTATTAGAGCACCGGCGTGTGTATTCGCGCTGCGTGAAAGAGAGGGAGAATGAAAGAGCAGGCGCGATATAACGAAACCACCTGACGAGGGAGGAGGTACGAACAAGCGCGATATAACGAAGCCGACACTTTTCACATTCACTTTACTTTGTGTGTACGTGGTGTATGCGTAATGCGCGAGTAAGCGCGCACGGTGCTCCAACCTTAATAATTTTCGAATGTTTGTTACGAGCTTGCATACACAGACGAGCAGCTCTCTTTTATATCCTTTTCTCTCTCCCTATTTCTCTCAGGCTGTTATCCAGATTTGTTTCCGGCGATTCCTTCCGCCGCTCGACGGCGAATCGACCGTGCGTTCGATCGATTGATACTTCAAGTGCGACTCGCTTCCTTCGATCGTCGGATCGAGCTAAAGCCGCCGGTCGGGATGTACGTAGGCGCGCGTACAGGCAATACCCGCGACATCGCCTAGAGCGCGGTGGATCCGTGAGTTATCGCAGCGACTGGAGGAGATTGGACGTGCGCCATTGACGACGACGACGACGACGACATCGCCGCCGCCACCACCACCACCGCCGCCGCCGCGCTCGTCCGTGCGACGCATGATCGCTTCGATTATTACAAATGAATCGCGAGACTGGCGACCGCCCGATGGAATTCTCGACGTCCCGTCGTTTCGCGCCGCGTGATCGCGCGACACAGAGAGTCAGCCCGCCACGACGTGGCTTCCTCGGGTATCACTCAACGGGCCGGAACTAACGACCGAACTTTCTCGGCCGATATTACGTCCGAGAAAGCAACGTTCGTAGGTGGAATCTTGCGCGCTCCACCGCGCGGTGCACCGTGAAAACCCTCCGCGAACTAACACCGCCAATTTTCCGTGCAAGCTGCCTCGGAGAGCCAGTTCGGGCCGACTTGGAGAGCAAACACGAGTAACTCCGCCGCCATTCGCAAAAATACCATTCGCGGAATTCGCGCACCGCGCCGCGAATGTGAAGGTCCGTGTGGGAACTGCAGTCCTTAAAACGTCCACGACATCTTGCGTTCGTTGGACGTTTGCTTCCGCCTTTTCTTCCTCTCTCTCTCCCTCGCCTCTCTCCTCTCTCTCTCTCTCTCTCTCTCTCTCTCTTTCTTGTCGTCGTAACTCACAGAACTCACTGAGCCTCACAGATAATATCTTTCAACCCCCAGAAAGTCTCGTTCTCCGCTTTTTCCAAGACTACGGCGATGGAGGTCGGCGAATCGAGTTCACCGTTGACCTCTCTCGGAAATCTCTCCCGCGAAATCAACGCGAAGGTCCTCAATCCGACGACGGCTTTCTTCTACATGACTTCCGAATCTCGATATTCGCTTTCTCGCTCGTTCTCTCTTTCTCTCTCTTTCACTCTCTCTCTCACTCTCTGTCGCCTCTCAAAAGAGTCCACGTCGCTTGGTCATTTTAAAAACTCCGCCAGAGTCTCTCTTTCTCCCGTCCGACGTTCTCTTCGTTCCTTTGTGCCGATCTATAGTTCCAGCGAAACGTTTACGCATCGATCGCTCGACGCGGCTGGATACGACCGTCGTAATCGCGGCGCGCCGCGAGACCGCTGCTATCGCGAATAAATCGGCGAGATCTTCGCGACGATCCTTGCACGGCAACGTTCCTCGGGAATGTACGCTGCCACCAGCTGGTGCGCGTGACATCCGACGACCAGGATACCTCGGTACCGCGCGAAGCCGACTTTGAGCACACGTGCGGAGCCACGAAGCGAATTGCAGACGCGGATCACTGTGCAAGTAACGCTGGGACTGGTAGCCGGCGCGGGAGGTGAACTCGCGAGTACGACTACGGATAAGAAGAAGGTGAGCACAAGACACCGAGGAGGAGGAGGAGGAGGAGGAGGAGGAGAAGGAGGAAGAAGAAGCGGCGAAGGAGACCGAGAGAGAAAGAGAGGCCGAGTGGAGAACGGGACGACGCGGAAGGCGGGAGACTGGGCTACACGTCGAACCGGTTTCCCTCTAGAGATCGCGACCGGCCAATTGGAAATACCACTGACAACGAGTCCGTCGGTCAGCCATTTTACGATCTCGCCGATCGCCGCGAATCCAGATAAAACACAGTCGTGGAGCTGCGCGGAACCGAGCCGAGCCGGGCCGAGCGAAGATGAGCTTATCTGAGGAGAGCTGGACCGAGAAAACGAGAGCCGGTAGGCTTCTCCGACGCGACGGGCGTCGATCGCGGCAGCCTGCCGACGGCAGTGGGGATCGTTAGTCTCGCCGAGCGAGAACTTCCACGGAAAATCCGAGAGCGAGTGCACACGGCTGCTCGTTGATATCGAAAACAAGAACGTTACGGATTCCTTCGCCGCTGGTGAACTCGTTAGACCACGAGCGCGCGGATTTTAGTGGACGACCGACGGCCGGAATGTGTCGCATTTGAGCTCTATCCGAGCTCTTCGTCCTCCGGGGGAGGAGAAATCCTGACGAAGCCTACTTCTTATTGTCGCGATCGCGACCGAGTTATTGCGCGACGTAATTGCGGGGGGACTTATTAGAAGCCCCGCGTCAAAGGGGGACGATAAAACGGCTCAGAAGCGCGCTACTGGAGCGAGAAAACGCTTATGTAAAATGTAGGAGTTGTAGTACCGTCGGCGTACTCTGTTTGCAGAATGCAATAATAATCGAATTCAGGTCGTAGCTGCACGCCGATCCAACGAAACTGCCAATCCAGCGGGCCGCGCGATTTCCGATTCGACACGATCCGCCGGCTCCCGCCCGGATTTCGCATTTATTTTTACTCCCCGTCCGCCCGCGCGAATCCGAATGTGAGCGAGAGTGCGAGCGAGCGCGCGTGCAAAAATATCGCGTCGCGTCCCGCCGCAATTAACAGCTGCTGCGTAAGCAGTAATACCTATAATTGATACTCCCGATGGCAAGTAACGCCGACTGATTAATAAACAGGGCACACAGGGAGAACGGTTAATAATTTACGATGCCCTGCACACAGGAGGGGAATAAGAGGGGGGAGAGGGGAACGAAAAAACCAATTACGCCCGTTGAGTTTTTCCACGATCGGAGATGTATTCCCGAGCCGGCGGAATGAATTAATTGATCGCGAGCACGCTCGCGCGAGTTTCGCCGCGGCCATACATACAGCGAGAAAGAATAAACCCCGTCGACGGGAAAGTTAAATGCCTGAAAAGTTATAATCGACCGGGCGCTGATATGTAAATACTCTCGGATTCTTGCGAGAAGCGAGCCGGAGGAAGACGCGCGCGCGAAGACGACGCCGCGCGGTAAGGCAAGGAGAGAACGGTAATCCAACTAACTTTTAAGCGACACTCCGCTCTTTTACTCCAAATGAGACCTAAGCAATTACGTCCCGAGAACTCCTTAATGAAAGTGGGAGAGGGGCAAGCGAGGCGTAGCGCACACGGGCGGGAGAAACTATCCGAGTACAAACGTCGATTGAGCAATAGGGCCATTCAAGCAAATTCGCCCGCGGTGTCCATCGATCAGGATCACGAGAGGCAGATCTCGGCCCGACTGAGTGTATACCGTCCGTCGACAGGAATTCCTCTCTCTCTCTCTCTTTCTCTCACCGACTCTCCGACTCCCTTCATCCCTCGATCGTACCTTTACTTTCAGCCGCTGACCGGCCATCGGAAACGCGGAGGTGCGAGGAGGGACGACGGTAACATTGGGAGAAATGCGCGAACGTGATTCTCTCAGGACGAACTGTCGTCCACCGGCCGCGCGCGCCGCGTAACTTTCCGCGCGCTCGGCGCCGACGAGGGCCGATCGTCACGGCGATGAGCGTCTTCTTGTCATGGCGTCATGTGCCTCTGGTGTTTTTCTTTTCTTTTCGGATTACTCCTCCTGGCCACAGGTGACTCGGTGCCCACCCCCCCCCCCCCCC